GAGAATATTATGCAATGGTAAATAGGTATTATGTTCTTAATTTGTGAACTTGCTTTGAGATTTTAATAAATGATCTTTACACTTACCCACTAAATTAATGCAAATGAAACGTAATAGTAAATAAGAGTTTATATCTTGATTTGTGAACTTGTTTTGCTGTTTTCAATTCCAAAGATAAGTAAATGATCTTTATACTCACAGACTAAATTAATACGAATGAAATGATTTAAAGGGTATTATGTAATGGTAAATAAGAATTTATGTCTTGAGTGTGAAACTTATTTTAATTTCGAAGATTGATAATTATCTTTATACTCACAAACTGAATGAAATAATGTGAGTGAAATGATTTGAAGGATATTACGTAGTAGTATTTATGTTCTTGATTTATGAACTTGTTTTGCTGATTTTAATTCCAAAGATTTCTTTATACTCACGGGCTAAATTAACACAGATAATAAATATTTATTAACTTAGGTGGCTAATATGTAAATCAATAATTCTTTATGCTTACTCCCTGATAATTAGAGTTGGATAATTAAAATTGTATGAGATATTCCCAATTTTTTAAATTAAAAAAATTTTTTTACAAATCATTATGATAAAAAATTAGCTTACTTTTCAATCCATTCCCAAAATTCATTATCATCCTTTTCCACACCAATTCCATATCTATAACAAATGGCAGTTTTGAAAATTCCCATAGTATTACCAGCCTTAGCAGATTTTAGATAATACATAAACGCTTTATGCTTATCTATTTCAACCCCAATTCCTAAATAATAACAATAACCAACTTGATACAATCCGTCAGGATTATTCATCTCTGCAGATTTCTGATAATAAATGAATGCTTTGTTTTCATCCTTTTCGACTCCGATTCCGTGTTCATAATCATAACCAAGCCTGTAATCATTCATATCTATCAATTTTTGACAATTAATAAGATTCAATCGATCAAAATTATCAATGATTTTGGTAATATCTTTTACTAGTCGTTCTTCTGTTAAATTGATGTATGAAAAATAAAGAAAATTTTAATGTATCATACTGCACAGCATATTTACTATACATACAGTGGTTATACAATATCGATACAATTAATTATATAGCTTGTAATATTTTAAAATTATACCGATATAGTGTCACACGATATTTTATTCTATAAACTTAGAAAATTCGAAACCAGGCAATTTGTTTGGACGCCACACATTCGAATTTTAGATACGTATCAATCATGGTTATGTTACCTCAACGAATGAACAATTTTAATAATTTTAACTAATTGGTCATCTCGAAAAAATAGGGTTGTTTTGTTAGCCATTATAATTTCTTTATGTTACACTTAATCTTCTATTATAACAATAAATAAATGGCAATTTCTATTTGTATACTGTGTTGTGTGTGTACATAGATATATTGATATCTCAAAATTCTAATTATAAAATGAAGCTTTTGGGTTCGAACAAAAAATATCTTTGCAAAATTAGCATAACATTAAATAAAATCGATCTGTATACATAAATCTAAATATAAAATATACTATATATATATAGTATTATATATATCTGATATATAGACTAGTAAACTGGCACGTTGTTACCTTCGTAACTGCGCCACGCCTAATTGATCCCTTATAATCATTATTTTCTCTGTGTTATTAATACCATTTTCCTTATTCTTTCGTATAATGTATTATAATAACCCCGCACTATCATTTTCTTTATTATTATTAGTATAGTAACTGACTATCTACGCTAATTCCATTGATAGACCATCGTTATATTTCTGACGGGCCAAAGGAAGTAGGTTATTGTGGTGAGTCAATAATTGGGGAGGAAACGCCAATGTTACACGGGACGGTTGGGACAAAGCTGGGACGGATTCGGGACAAATTTAAAATTTTTTTAAAAAAAAATAACAGTAACTCAAAATTTTATTAAGTTAAAATTGAATTTTACATATTTTTCATTATTTCCTTAATATAGCTAGCTTTTCTTATTAAATTGATGGGACAAAGTCGGGACTCCGGGACGGGACAAGGCCAAAAAGGCTTGGGACAGTCAAATTACAACATTAAGTTACCCTCATTTATGAATAAAAACTTTGGCGGTTCATATCTTAAACACTATTGTTTTGTTTGACGCATACTTACTGAGTGCTGTATCGTATGTTCTACAGTATATTCACACTATATTTATTATTCATATTGTTCAGGCCTTGTTTTATTTCCATTCGTGTATACATCTCTTTTCGTTTACTATCAGAATTAAACTGGCTACAGCTCATCTGATAGCAACAACGTTTTTAACCATGCCTAAGTGAATAAATGAGGACGAAGAATAATCATGCGAAACTTAAAACATTATTCTCTATTAATTCGTATTTTCGCGAAATAACGCGTGCAGGGGTGTAATTTCGAAATTTGGCCCGAATTAAGCTTAATTCGGGCCAAAATTCAAAATAACGCTTCCTGCGCTTCAGTTAGTAATAATTATATTCTGATATAATTCTAATCAAAAAAAATAAGAGTTATAAAACGCAATATAACAATATTATTACTTTTTTTTTAACGTACGATTTGTCACGGTTGCCTTTTGAATTCCACGCTGTTACGAATTTGTTCATTGACAAATAGATTGTCCGGCCATACTTAAAATCTCATGTACAAGCGCGCAGGGGTTTAATTTCAAAATTTGGCCTAAATTAAGCTTAATTCGGGTCAAATTTCAAAATAGCGCCCCTGCGAGTTATTTCGCGCTTGTACGGTATGGCAAAAATGGACAAATCCTAATCCAAAATCCCAAACCCTGTCCAAATCCAAAATCCACATGATGGGTTTGATACCTTGCATTTAAAGCTATCAAAAAAAAAGTACGTTAGATTTTCTGTCGTTATTTCGCGGATGTACGTGTGTATATCTAAAATTTATTTTGTTAAACAGCAAGTTTTTGGCTTCGTTACTGTTAAATAATCTGAGCATTTACATTTACGTTATTTTTAAGTACACTAAGCTAACTATATTAGAGATTTTTATTCATTTAGATTATTATTGCACACTCTTAAACTACCTCATCAAGCAACTTGTCATTTCTTTTGATAAATATTTGCCTTCACAGTAAGATATAATGAACATAAAAGGTAATAATTGATTTACTTACATTATACGTATTATTTATGTTGTAAAAGAAAGATCCGAAAGTGATTATTTAAGTTTCGTTATAGCAAACTTAGTCCCTGATAAAATTGTGATATTACGTATCTATATTGATCAGTTTCTGGTAATTTCAATAACATAGAGTAAATACATTAGACATTCTATCAAAAACATGATAAATTACTTGAAACCACAATTCTTTCGGGTAAACCCGCTAAAGTAAAACTTAAATATTCACTTTCAGGTTTTCCCATAAATCTCAGTTTTTATAGTCAGAAGTCTTACGTCACTTTGGAGTTTTATCACGTCAGAATTCACAAAAGCTGATATTTTTACTGAAATTAGCGTACTACCTATAGTATGAGCTCTGGTTCAGAAAACGGACTACTTTATACAATATCAAAATAAATTAAATAAATATATAAATAGTTAAACAATATAAAATAAAATAAAAATAATTGTATTTAAATTAAAAATTAGTCGTATTCAATAACAGTATTTATTTAAAATAATCGTATTTATTTTTATTAATTTTTAAAGTATATAAAAAAAAATGAACAATTGTATTTAACGCAAAAACGTTGGTTTTGACAAAAAAAAATAATGCAAAAAATAAGAAAAACTCTCGTGGGTATCGTGAGTCAGGATAACACATCAAAATAAGAAAATTTTATGTACGTTCTGCACATGCGCGCATCGAATTTTTATACTGCTTTTTCAAGCACTGCCATATAAATCCACGTTGGACTCTCAATAGTCAAGAACCCAGTGACGAAGATACCTCCAACAGCTAACAATTATTTGTACCAGAAAATTATTAATCGCCTTTCCAAATATATATTCGGACATAATGTGCATGTCACGTCATATTGATTAAAATAGACGCGAATCTTTTAAGACAGGTCAAAAAAAACAGTTGTATTTAAATTAAATAAAATAATAATAATAATCGTATTAAAAAAAAATACCGACAAAAAATAAAAAAAAACAATCATAATAGAATAAATTAATTAAAACAAATTATTTTTAGAGTATTCTTTTTTATTTTTTATTTTTTTTGTATCTGTTTTTCAAAATTTGATATTTGGGATGAGATGGTATTTTGGATGGGATTTGGATTTTAAAGCTTTTAATTTTGCCAATATGTATAACTGTATCACTATTAAGTTTATTGATTGTTGATTGGATTATAATCACCTGATCGAGAATTTTTTTCCTACCGTGCCTATTCTACCTATACATCCTTCAAAATACTAGATTTAATGTTAAAGAAGCGATATTTTCAGATTTTATCTAATTCTCGGATCGAAGTTATTCTTCCTATGTGAATCCTGCTTATTAATTGTTAAAGCAATAATAGATATACTTTTATTAAATGTTTAATAGTATTTCATACAAAAAAAAAAGAAATCCCAACAATCCTTTGACTTCCTTAAACTGAATTTAACACATTACAATCATATACTAATTTATCTAAGTTGATTAAATGCATTCCAATTTCATCTTCAACTATCAACTATTTTTTTTTTAAGTAAATGAGGTTGTAATATTAAAATTACAATGGTAATGCAAACACCAACCAAAAAACAACCTTCCATAGAAACGAGAAAGAAAAAAAAAATAAAAACCTTACATTGAACAAGTTTAGAAATTCATAATACTATTAAAATAACAGCAACTACAATATAAAATATAGAAAAGTTACTAATCGCAAAGCAGAATAATAAATAGCACATGCAAAGATAAGAAATCATAACGGAAAGTTGTATAAATATAAATTCTTAGTACGTAGTAAAATGGCTTATGCGTAGCTACGAACCCACCAACTTTTAGCAATTTTTTTTTACTTAGTCATATCTTTATTTTCACTCACATTCATATAAGCACTACGAAATCTGTACCAATCAAAAGATCCGGGTCTAGGTGCATGGTCGGATTTTCGAATGGATAACATTTGGCCAGAAATAACTATTCCACCTTGATTTAAGGCTTCATTATAAGATTCCCATTCAGAAAAATAAGCAAAAGCGTGATCCTAATAAATTAAAAATTAGTATAAAATATAATACAGTATAAAAAACGAATACAATAATTGACACTCACTCTATGACGATATTTTGCAACAGCAATCACATCTCCAAACATATCACTCAATGATTTCTTAATGACAGCAGGTGGGATATCTATCTTAAATACGCCGATGTAAACAGCAGGGATCTTGATTTGAGGAGTACCTTTAGGTTCTTGAGTGATCGCTTTACCTACACAAAGATCTGGATTATGACAAATAAAGAAAAAAAAAAGGATTTATACAAATCAACAATTTAATAGAAATTAATAGTTTACAAACCTTCACGTAATTTATCACACCATTTTGATCCACCAAAGATTTCACTTGTATCACGACTCTTAATATCAGTTGAATGAGTATCGATTTGATGTTGACAAAGCTTTTCCGAAAGTTCTTTTAAAGAATCAACGAAAGCTTGAGAAGGAATAGGAGGTTTAGGAGGTTCTACTACTTTAAAATTATTAACAGTAGTAATGCTTTTTATAGAATCTTTATCGTCATCAGCAATAAATTGATCATCAACAGGTTGATAATTCAAAATTGCATCCCTAGCATCAGCAAGAATAGCTTGTGAAGCTACTAATTGATTCCTCAAGGAAGCATAGCCATTACTTTCACGAGAGGGAATAATATCATGATTAGATACGACATTATAAAGAATATTTTCATTATACCGAATTGCTTCAGTAAAATTTCTAATTGCATCATTTTGAATTGCATAAAATTGTTTAGTAGAAGCAATGAGAGCTTTTTGAAGACGCTTAATTTCTTGATCTTTTTTTTCGAGTAAAGTAAGTTCGTTAGGAAGAACACTTTTCCCTTTATCCATCTTTAGAAAAGATTTTAGAAAAGATTATAGTTTTAATATGATCTAAAAAAAAAATTAGGAAATAGGTTTGATAAAAAAGAAACGATTAAAATATTATTATTTTACACAGATAAACACGACAAGTAAAAATAAATATGATAAATAAACACGTCAAATGAATACGATAAATACATTATTTTTTTTGTTTAAAGCAAAAGACATAGGTAAAGGTGTATTCAAAAAAAGAGTTATGAAATTCTTTTTTTATATATAATAAAAATAAATAAAACACACACATATCCATATGTATAAAATTGACATCATTATAAATAAAAGTCTATTAGTATTGAATACGTCAAGTTCTTTGAATGCCGAAATTGAAAATTAATTGTTGCTGACTAATTTAAAATTAAATATTTTTCCGAATATCTTAACCTCATTTAAAACGTGTGCAAAATTCACTCCCGTTCCCGTTTTTTCCGAAGCTTTTCCTAATCAAAGGTAAAATTTGAATAATATAGTCATCTATTAGTAATCATTTCTTTAAAAAAATTATTGTGTTCGTCTAAATTTTTCAGGTTATCTAATCACATCAAGAAATTTTTAATATCTTGAGCTGTTGTGTATACTCTTTAATCTCCCGCGATCTTGGTACAATGATCGGGGTTTAATATCAAGATAACCGATATTTAATATAACTTTGTTCATCGCATTGTACGTATTACTGTATAGATCATCGCTTATTAAAAAATGAACTACATTTTTAATATATCAACGAAAAAATAAATTCAGAGATTATCGATTTTTATCAACCTAAAAAAATCGTAATGCATAACTTATATGTAATAGTTTTAATAACAATATATAATAAATTTATAATAAAGAGTTATGAAATAATGGCGTAGGAACTCAATGAAATAACAAGTTTTTTGAATGTAATAATAATTAGAATCGACATAATATGCATTTTATTATTATCGTTATTACAAACAAGGATAGTAAAATCTTGAAGTTTTAACTAGGATAAAAAATGGAAATGGTTCGTTATTGGTGCTTTCCACCTAACCAAGATTAGTGTCAGGATAAGGTAAGTATATGTAATTTGCGGTCTAAACCGCGCCTTATACTTAGACAACTTATCAGAATTGTATAAATACAATGGCGAGTGGCTGACCAATAAATAATAAAAAAAAAAGCCATATACGCATTAAATCAGCGTGGGCATTTGAAACATATGGGCAGCCGTCAATAGAAATCAAGCAAATCTACATTTGAAAAAAAATTAATGCCTTAAATTTCAAAGCTCATACCTCGATGAATTTTAAAGCTATCTTGATGATTTAATATTCAAAAGAAAGCTTATGATCCAAGCTTTCTGTTAAACATTCAACCATTAAGATAGCTTTAAAATTCATTGAGATATGAGCTGTGAAATTTAAGGCATTGATTTTTTTTCAAATGTAGATTTGCTTGATTTCTATTGACGGCTGCCCATATGGTAATGTCCAAAATATTTAAAAATATAAAAATAAGGATGTTAATACTCGATCAAGTATTAATAATCAGAAATCGACAGTTGGATGATCTTAAAAAATCAACTATCCCCTGCTCTGCCCTTGTGCAAAATGCAACTGGGTTATGTTAGCGCAGGAAAAAAATTTTAATGTTTTAAATTGAAAATACGGTCACATATCGGAATATTATTATTGATAACTAGAAACCTTTACTATATCAGTCAGTGTTTCGTATGATTGGCTAATATTTTCCAGTTTAAAGTACAATTTCAAAAAACAAAAACAACACAATAAAATAAGAATTGTGTAGTAAGTTGTAGGACTCTATTATTAACAAGATTTTTTAAAATTTTCAAAAAGAGTTTAAAGATGCTTTTAACAATAAAGTCCTACAATTCTAATAAAACTTTTTTTTGAAATTGTACTTTAAACTGTATAATTGGGAGCATACTTTTCTTAATACTGTAAAATCAATTGGGCAATCAAGTTTTGTGACATTTTAATAACACTGAAAATAATTACTACACCATCCCTAGAGATAATTTCGGAACTACCACGTGACATGTACGTTCAGATTAGAAGATAAGCGGGTTATTAATACACAGCAAATAAAAAAGGGCTAGCACTAAACTAATCTTATAATCTCTTAATTATTGTTAGCACAACACTGTATTTCGAACAAACCGAAATTGAATATTAAAAATTTAAATCAGAATAAAACTTACCGAAATTGAACTCGATAGCTAAAGCTCTAATAAAGTGAAAGATATGAGAAGCGTGGTATAAAAGAGATAGTATGAGTAGATATCTTTTTTTGAAAAATATTATATTAAATATTAACAATAGACATAATTATTATCTTTAAATGTATTCGCTAAAATATTTATTAGGTACTATCCTTAAAGCCTAAAAACATCATTACTAATTAAATGCTCTATTCGTTCGTGTCAGATAAACCATATATAAGAATGAATCTGAGTCTGAATCCATTAATTTCATTTCATCTGATTCTTTCTAATTACAATAACAAATTAAGCAATATTTTACTCAATAACGATAGTTATATATCGATATATAAATATATGGAATTAATAATTTGCTATCAGAGATTAATGTGTTTCATGTTACAATCTAGAAAAGCTGTTTTGTCTATCATATCATCATTTTGGTAAATTTCTATAAAATTTTTAAGATTATTTAATTGAACTTCACCTACTTTATCTACTTTATCTGACACGAAAGGCGAGTATTCCCTTGCAAGAGTGGCCAAACCAGGAAATTCATGTTTCGAATTTTGCCACCATTTATACACATCAATGTTTTCATCAGACTGATATTGCGTTCGACTAATATATTTTGTCAATTCTTCAAATGCTAAATTATTATCAGAAGAACTGGGATTTTGTGAATAATAGGCTTGATATTTATCTAGCACAAATTTCCCGAGCTCCTAATAAATTGTATGAAACATAATTACATTAATTGTGACTTTATAATCATAACAATTTAAAATCTTAATAAACTTACATCAGAAAGAAAATTTATTGGTTGCAAACGCGGATCCAAAAATAGACTTACTTGCTTGTAGAAATATGAACGATATGAACGAATTAAAAATTTCAGAAATGATTCGAGTGTCTTATATTCCATATCAAAAGTAAACTGAGAAATCTCACTTAAAATATTAGTAGCTTTAACCAATAGATCCGTAACATTTCTTTCAGTAACGACCTCGATATGTTTCAAAGGTTTGAATAACTCTACTAATATATAAAATATACTAACTGGTAAATTATCTAATAAATCTCTTTTAAAATCATCTACGTTTTTTCCAATAAAGCTATCATTGTTATAATTATTAAATAATTTCTTGAAATGTTGACTTATTAATGAAAGAAATTCTATTTTATGATAATGACAATTACAATCATTAATTGTTATTCATTTTATATTGCATTCTTCTATCCTTCAAAACACGTACGACATTGCAAAGATTCTCAGTAGCGTTTTTAACAGCTATGGCAATATTAGAAATTCCTTGGGTACTGGTATTCTCAATATCCCATCTCTTTAAACTCTTTGCTATTAAGCTATCACTACTTTCATTTACATTAGTGCTTATATGTATAATATCTGGGTACTTTTCTTTTAGCTGATCATAAAAATTCTTATTGTTACTAATAAATTTCAAGTTTTTTAATTTCCACTGATCTAAAGCTTCGATAATATCTTCAAACGTTTTCTTTACACACAGCAAGATTTTATTAAATTCGAAGTTCTCAGTTAGCCAGCAAACAAGTAACTACAATAAATTCACTGTAAATCTTATAAATTGAGAGCATAATAGATTTTGCTTTCTGAACTTTTGATTTCAACCGATCAGATAAATGCTTATATAATTTATTTATCTGTTCATCGAGGGGCAGTTCAATTTGAAGATTAATGTGATCAGAAGATTTTAAACTATTAATAACTTTGAGAGGTGATGCAGAGGGAACAATGAATCTAATTAATGGAAGCTTAATTTTTAATTCTGTTATATGCTTTCTCTTAAGATGATCGAGAAAGTTAGAAGCAGATCCACGCCATACGTATTTCTTATTGCATCCATCAAAAGTACATCTTGTTTCTGATCCATAACTCGGTTTAATTGGGCGAAAATATCTCCAACATATGCTTTCCTATAATTATTTCTAGAGCGTCGGCGTCGACGTGATAGTTGAACTCCACTATTTCCTACGTTATTTTGATGCCTTCTCTTAATGTGACCAAGAAGGTTTGAAGTGGACCCACGCCATATATATTTCGTATTGCATCCTTCAATAATGCATTTTACTACTGTTTCATTTTCCGAGACTTCAATTAATTTGAAATAATTCCAACATATGCTCTTCCTAGAATTATTTCCAGGTCGCTGGCGTGATTGTTGAACTCCATCACTTCCTGTAATTAATAAGCTACTTTCATCATCAGAATCAGAAATTAAATTTTGATTTTCGAACATTGTAAGAAGGTTGCGTTGCATTAGGTAATTAACTTTCTAATTAATAGAGCAAGAAACAATAGGAAAAATTTTACATAATAGGAAATTATCCCGCAAATCAACCCAAATTTATACGCTACGTACTCATTTAATATTTGATTAACTTTAGTAAGTTTAGACTGCGATTTTTTATGGTTTTCACATGTTTAATCACGTGAGATACCCTAACGCAGTACAGTAGTAGGCCTTGGATTTTTTAACTTTAATATTGCCCAAACTCTAGTTCATAAAACGGTGTATATATAATATGTACCATCGTATAGTGGAAATTATGCATGTGGTGGAAATTACGCACGTACGTAAGTACGTACGTGCTGTACTTTTTCCTAATATAAACTTATAATAAAAGAGCTATCAAACCATTTTTTTAAAAATTTATGGGCACCGGAATTTTAATCAGATTAGGATAAGTCCAGATTGGTGTGATTTGCCTAATTCCAAAAGAATGATTGAATTTCAGAATAATAATCAGAAACTAATTGTTTAGATTTGTTTAACGCTAAACTCAAATTTTAGGGTTAGTTAGCTATTCTGCTTATAGTAAAATTACCAACTGGGTATTTTTTACTAATGAACGACTACGGTTTCATTAGTAAAATTCTTATATCTTGGGCAAAATCGATCACTTCCTGATGTCAATATTGAGAATACTATAAAGATAATGTCGTATGATTTGGATATCCCCATATCTTAAATGTTTAAGTAGTTGAAAAAGATCTATAATTTTATCTGGAAGGTGCAGTATCGGACAGCAAAAAACATCCACTTTTTATATATATAATATAAAAAATTGCTTATAATTCGAACAAATAATTTTTAAAAAATCTGTCTTACAGATTTGTTGCTTTTAGTTTAAGCTACAATTCTGTTAGAACAAATTTTTATTTTTCTTATAAAATTAAAAAGTTATTAAAGTTTATATGTAATCATATCAGATATATATATATATATAACCAATCAGAATTCATTACATAAAATTAGCCAATCATATTAGATTATATAATCTCAAAATTTGGTATGTTTTTTTGCTGTTCGGTATTGTACTATGTAAAAAAAAATTCACATTTTTACCGCAGGTTATTCTTATTTTTAATACAAACATCTGTGGAATTGAAGTTTTTCCGTCAGTGATACGTCATACCTACTAGAGTTTTGGAACCGGTTTTATTTTCATATGCTAAACCCGATTAAACTGGGTTACATATGAAAAATAAACCGGTTCCAACTCAAATAACTGCCAAATAAATAGCATGACATCAGCAAGTTGTTTTTTTTATAAAATCTACAAATTTATATAGTTATTTTATTTTTATTTTTTTATGGTCTATGCAGTGTCTATGCTCTCAATGGTTTTTATTATAGCATATACAACCTATGTTTAATAGGGGTATTATATTTTACATATCAATGAGGTTACAATTAGCCATGTATACAATTTTATTCATTGTCTATTTAAAGGCTCCATCTGCAGATTACCTACTAATTACCATGCTTGGAACCCACCTATGGGTTTTCTATTTAAAGTTTTTAATTTTTAATATTACTTTGTAACACCAAGCTAATTATTTTATTAGAGGCTTAGAGCTAATTTATCTCCAAAATAAACTTTACAATAATGAATATAGATCCCAAATCTATACCAGTTTTGGCTTCTTATATCAGAGATGATTTCATAATTGGCAGGGCCAATTCTTTTCTACAAATGCTAATAGCATTCTTCACATTTCTTATTATAGTAGTGTCTGACTTTCTACTACACTAGTTTTTTTCTGAAAATTTCTTGATTCAAATATGTACCTTTAGAGAAGTGCAGGAAATTACATAATTTTTTAGGAGGAAGAGAAGTCACCATTTTATCATGTCCTATATATATATATATAGTCAAATAGCTAAATATTAAAATATTTATTATATTAAAAATCATAATATTATATTAATATTCAGATTTGTATTACTTAACAACCAGTTATCCAAATAAGCTAAAATTCTTACTATAAATAAATATAATATCTGGCTATAATATATTAAAATTTTATATAATTTGATTAGTAATTCTTGAGAAATTGTTTAAAAACTATATATAATTTTGTTATATAAATCGTATACAGTTTATAATTTACTGCTATTATCATAATTTTTAAAACACCTAATAAAAATTGGCTAAATAATTGTTTGCTGATTTGATTAAGTTATAAATTTCAAGAATAATAAAATTATATAGCTTAAATTTCAAATATTTTTATATTTAAAAATTTGTATAGATTTTTATTTAACTTTAAATAAAAAACCACAAAGATTTTTAAAAAATCAAAACTTTGCAGTTTTTTTATTAATAATTTGTAAAGATTTTTAAAAATCATAACTTCGCAGTTTTTTTATTAATAATTTGCAAAGATCTGATAATTTTAGTAATCTTTACAGATTATAACTTAATTTATTTTTCTGATATACTATTTGCATACATGTTTTGAAATAATATACAGAGTATTAAAAGTACATGTTATTATATGCCTATATTGTAAAAATGATCTATATAGTGGCTAACCAATAAAAATTTAGCAATTTACAGTTATACAATTTAATTGCATAATTTATATAGATAATCTAAATATTATATTATACACAAATTTTTTATTTTTTTATTTTATTTTTTAATATTGGGATGTAGTACTTGCTCTAGACTTTTATTAATACTTAAATAAGTTGACATATAGTATGAAGTTAATAGAAAAGAGACAAATTTTTTTTAAGTAAAAGTGTTTTCAAATTTAAGCTTAAATATCTTAGCAATTATTTTATCAAATTTAATAATTATTTTTTTATTTTAATTTTTTATAAATTTAAAATTAAAATAAAAAAATTTTGAGCAAATTTGGTTAATTAGTTGTTGAAATATTTTAATTTAAAAATTAAAAA